CGCAATCGCAGTTTTAAATGTTGCGATTAGTTGATCGCAAGAGGCTGCAATATAAAATAAATAGGTTTATATGTAAATAAAAATAACATTTCAAAAACAGTCTACTATGCTTCAGAAAATTAAACATGCTAGACTTTCTGTGATGGTGTCGTGAGGCATCACAAACATGGTATCGGTTGTTATGAACTATGCCACATTACACCAGAAGAAATGATTGAATCTTGTGTCACGACATCCATTTGTCGTTTACGACTCCCCACAGCACCCTGCGTCAAAGAAATCATGCCAAAATCGTGTGATCTGACGGGGGCTTTATAACTAGACAATTGAGTAGGGACAATTTCGTTCTGCCCAATCAGAATTGCGCAACTGAACTATGGCCACAATAAAAAAAAAAAAAGAAAGCACTGACAAGTGGGATTATGGCGTCTGCTGCTTTAAAAGCATTAATAGACAAATTAATATAAAAGAAAAACAGCATTTGTAATATGGGAATATTTCGGTTTCAAAGTCACAGGCGACGGCTGTCAGATTATTGAGCTCAAGCTTGAATTAAATGAAAATCAGCTCAAAGCTTGAATTAAATTGTAAATCAAATCGCAATCGCAATATGTCAAAAAAATCACGATTAGATATTTTCCCCAAAACGCACAAACCTAATATATATATATATATATATATATATATATATATATATATATATATATATATATATATATATATATATATATATATTTAAAATGTTTTATTTTATTGTTGTTTCAACATTTTGAGAATTTGTTTTATTAATTATAAATAATATTTTGATAGATTTTGTCTGAAAAGAATGACATTTTCTGTATATGGCAGAACATTAATGTAAGAAGTGTAATGTTAAACAATTTGTGTGTGCTTGTTTGTCTTTATGAATTTTATTGTTTTTATTGTTATTATTATATTTGTATTATTTAATTTGTATTTTTATTTTTTAACTATTTATTTATTTATTATGCCATGAAGAAAGTCAATGGAGCTGACATGATATCAAATATAAGGCAGGATACAATTTTTATGGGAAACCATTTGAAAGTCTGTCACTTTTAAACGATTTAGTGCTTTCTTGGTCATTAAATCTTAAAAACAAACATAAGCCCTAACTTATTAACGGTCGTATATTTACCAGATCCAACTTTCAAAGCATTCATTTCAACGACCTATGTATTTGCAGTTGCCTACAAAGCCAGCCAATCAGATTAGAGCTTGCCAGATCGTAAAGTACTTTCATTTATCCTGCATAGTGTGCATCAATACACCTTTTTTCCGTACATGCACAAGGACTAAATAGAACAAAGAGTCAGAGAAATGAAAGCAAGAGTGAATCCAGCCGCTCTTTATATCCGGCCCAAGGCTGTCACAATCCATCATCTTTACGCACCATATGTGAACGTGACAGTGTATATTTAACCTAAGAATGCTTAAAGGGGATTGTGTACATGTGAGAGAAGTATATGGAGCCAAACAGATGCATGTTGGGAGTAGAAATGCATCTGCAGGCAATACTCTGTCTGGAAAATATCTCTCAATGATCGGTGTATGTGTGAGAGTGCCGTTGTGTTCCTTGAGACCTGTCATTGTAATTTGATCATTGGATTACTGATATGCTGGTTGCCATGGCCTCCTTATGCATGATTAGGTTACCGTGCGACTGTCCTTGATGCTGGAAAGTACAGTAGTACAGTAGCTTTTTTTAATTTGTGTGATTTGTTTTCATTTTTGTTTAATGCAGTGCATTTATTGGTACTGTTGGCATCAAATAAAAGATAGTCTTTTGTTCATTTAAAAAAAAAAAGGTTTAAGTGGAATTGATTAGATCATTTGGTTTGCTGTTGTTGTGTTGAGGGAACGATTAACTTTTTTTCTTTTTGCAAATTTTACAGATCACCTGTAGTTAAACAGTCAAGTTTGACCATTTTTTATTCAATCCAGCAGGTCTCTAAGTCTGGAGGGAGCACTTTTAGCTTAACTTAGTATAAATAATTGATTTGGGTTAGACCATTAGCACCTCACTAAAAAAAGATTAAATCTTTTAGTTACCCCCAAACCTTCTTCACTCTTTTGTTGTTACCCATAGACGTTCTTGATTCTTCTGTTGTTACCCCCCAAACGTTCTTGACTCTTTGGTTGTTACCCCCAAACGTTCTTGACTGTTCTGTTGTTACTCCCAAACGTTCTTGACTCTTCTGTAGTTACCCCTAAATGTTTTTGACTCTTTGTAGTTACCACCAAACATTCTTGACTCTTCTGTTGTTACCCCCAAACGTTGTTGAATCTTCTGTAGTTACCCCCAAATGTTCTTGACTCTTCAGTAGTTTCCCTCCAACATGCTCAAAACGTTCTTGATTCTTCTGTAAACATTCTTGACTCTTCTGTAGTCACCCCAAAATGTTCTTGACTCCTCTGTAGTTACCCTCAAACCAGCTAGAAACGTTTTTGACTCTTCTGTAGTTACCTCCAAACGTGCTCCAAATGTTCTTGACTCTTCTGTAGTTACCCTCAAACGTTCTCGAAACGTTCTTAATTCTTCTGTAGTTACCCCTAAACGTTCTTGACTCTTCTGTTGTTACCCCAAACAATCCTGACTCTTCTGTAGTTACTCCCAAATGTTGTCAAAATGTTTTTGACTTTTCTGTAGCTACCCCCAAGCATTATCAAAACGTTCTTAATTCTTCTGTAGTTACCCCCAAATGTTGTCAAAATGTTCTTGACTCTTCTGTAGTTACCCCCAAACGTTCTTGACTTTTCTATAGTTACCCCCATACATTCTTGACTCTTTTGTAGTTACCCACAAGCATTATCAAATTGTTCTTGACTCTTCTGTAGTTACCCCCAAACGTTCTTGAAACGTTCTTGATTCTTCTGTAGTTACCCCCAAACGTTCTTGACTCTTCTGTTGTTACCCCAAACAATCCTGACTCTTCTGTAGTTACTCCCAAATGTTGTCAAAATGTTTTTGACTTTTCTGTAGCTACCCCCAAGCATTATCAAAACGTTCTTAATTCTTCTGTAGTTACCCCCAAATGTTGTCAAAATGTTCTTGACTCTTCTGTAGTTACCCCCAAACGTTCTTGACTTTTCTATAGTTACCCCCATACATTCTTGACTCTTTTGTAGTTACCCACAAGCATTATCAAATTGTTCTTGACTCTTCTGTAGTTACCCCCAAACGTTCTTGAAACGTTCTTGATTCTTCTGTAGTTACCCCCAAACGTTCTTGACTCTTCTGTTGTTACCCCAAACAATCCTGACTCTTCTGTAGTTACTCCCAAATGTTGCCAAAAAGTTCTTGACTCTTTTGTAGTTACGCCCAAGCGTTATCAAAACGTTCCTGACTCTTCTGTAGTTACCCCCAAATGTTGTCAATAGTTCTTGACTTCTCTGTAGTTACCCCAAAAGTTGTCAATGTTGTTGACTCAAATGTTGTCAAAATGTTTTTGACTTTTCCGTAGCTACCCCCAAGCATTATCAAAACGTTCTTAATTCTTCTGTAGTTACCCCCAAATGTTGTCAAAATGTTTTTGACTCTTCTGTAGTTACCCCCAAACGTTCTTGACTTTTCTATAGTTACCCCCATACATTCTTGACTCTTTTGTAGTTACCCACAAGCATTATCAAATTGTTCTTGACTCTTCTGTAGTTACCCCCAAACGTTCTTGAGACGTTCTTGATTCTTCTGTAGTTACCCCCAAACGTTCTTGACTCTTCTGGTGTTACCCCAAACAATCCTGACTCTTCTGTAGTTACTCCCAAATGTTGCCAAAAAGTTCTTGACTCTTATGTAGTTACGCCCAAGTGTTATCAAAACGTTCCTGACTCTTCTGTAGTTACCCCCAAATGTTGTCAATAGTTCTTGACTTCTCTGTAGGTACCCCAAAAGTTGTCAATGTTGTTGACTCAAATGTTGTCAAAATGTTTTTGACTTTTCTGTAGCTACCCCCAGACATTATCAAAACGTTCTTAATTCTTCTGTAGTTACCCCCAAACGTTCTTGACTTTTCTATAGTTACCCCCATACATTCTTGACCCTTTATAGTTACCCACAAGCATTATCAAATTGTTCTTGACTCTTCTGTAGTTACCCCCAAACGTTCTTGAAACGTTCTTGACTCTTCTGTAGTTACCCCCAAATGTTCTCGATATCACCCAATGCAGATTATCAAATAAAAATCTCAGCCAGCGTGCTCCCATGGAAAGGTCCACCTTTAGACCACCCTAGCCATATCAGCCTGGGAAATAGCAGCTTTTATTTTTCCATTAGTCTTAGTACATAGTGTAACCACAGAGACACAGACAATTACCAGAACTTTTTTTTAATATCTGCTGAATGGATTCAAAAATGGTAAAATGCAACTGTTTAACTACAGGTGACTGGTAAACAAAGCCTATTTCTAGGAATAGTTGAGTGTTTCGTTGATGTGTGACAGGTTATCCTGCCTTCATGTCAAACACCAGTGATGCACAATATATTGGCAGCCATATTGGAATAGGTTGATAAATGCTTTTTGTGACCAGGTGTGGTTTCATATCACAGAATGAGGAAAATATCATTATAATATTCTGTACAGTGAAAAATCTATGCCAGTTAGCATTAAATTATTTCTGAATAAAGGTTAAAATTGTAAAATTAGACATTATGGCACCAATTGTGATTATTGTGTTAATATTTTATATATATTGGCCATGTATCGACCAATTGGCTTCCAGATATAAAGAGTTATTGTTATCTGTTTTGGACAAAATTTCAATGTCAGTTCCAAAAATACCAATAACGCTACAATTGTGTGTGTTTTTTTTTTTTTTCGTATTCTTAATTGATATAATGCTTATGTATCAGCCAATTAGCTTCCAGATATTAAGAGTTATTGTTATATGTATGTTCCATATTAGAATATATCATCTAAATAATCTCTATTGGACAAAATTTCCATGCCAGTTGTTCACAGTCTTATTCTCTCTTTCCACAG